GGAATAAAATTTGAAAGTGGACCTGTACCTCTTTCCCTCTCCAACCTCACATTTCACCACTCTCTTCCTAGAAAAACCTGCTTTATTTTCATTTCCCAAATCTGTAAGCCCTTTTCCATCTCAGGGCTTTTGCCTGAAATACTATTCTCCCCATTCTCTGTCTGACTGACCCTTACTCGTTCTTCATATCTCAGCATTAAGGTCACTTATTCAAAGAGGCCTGCTCTGCCCATCCATTCTCAGTGAAATCTGTTCATCATGTCCTGTCTTGGAACTCTGCAGTTTTCCTTCACAGAATTTATCTCAGATTGTAATTCTGTGTGTATATGTATGACTATTTTAATGTCTGTCTCCTCTGTAAGCTAAGAGCCTCCACGAGTACAGACTAGGTCTGTTTAGTTCATCAATATATACACAAAATCCAGCACAGTGCTTGGCACATAGTAGCCACATGAGAAATATTTGTTGAAGGAGTAAATAAATATTATAATCATTCTTTAAGTATCTTTCCTCCCAAGAAGTCTATAATCATCTAGAGGGCTGAGATTAAATCTGAATTGAGTTGAATTGAATTGAGAGACAAATTAGGACTAACTTCCATTGGAAAAAAAATTTATTTAAGTCAGAATTCCTCAAGAAAACATATCTTATAAAATAAATCTTTTATTATTTTAACATGAAATATAGTCTTCAAAGGGAACAAAGTGTGCAGTATGTTGTAAATTCAAAACACTTATACAGGCTCAATCATATAAATTAATGTATTACATAATAAAACTTGAAATATTCCTATAATTTTATATCCCCAAAGAAAAAATTCCTTAGAAACAAAGAAGCAATCATGATGTGAAACGAGTACAGAGCTGATAAATGTATTTATAAATTGGTCCCCTATGTTTTCTATCATCTTGTCTAAGGAACCCCTTATTCATTACTGACTTTGAGCTGTAACACTGTTCACCTTTTAAGAATTCTGCCATTTTTGTCTTCCGTGCAAAGACAATAATACCTTTGCTCTGTGGTATTTCCTAACATTTGTATATTCCTATCAAATAATGTGTTATTTTTTTAGTATTAAGATACATCTTAAATTTCAATGCATCTTGTACCTTCTTTTATATAGCACGAGAGTGACTATCTCTAAATATATGCTATTTCTCTTTTCTAAACTAGTCACATAGTATTACAAATGAGTTATATTTTTTCTTCAATCTTTGCTCACCAATTGCTCAGTGAATTCATTCACTTTAGCATTTTCTGTTTTCCCTTCTTCGTTTCCATGGAGAAGGATGTCATGATGTGTTTGACTCCATGGAAACAGATGAGCATCTCTTTCTACATACACAACTAATTAAATCGAACACTTTCTGTGCTGCCCATTGTTCAGGAGGAGGAGTGAAGAGGCTTTCCCTGAATGAGACATCATTTTAGTAGCAATTCTTAGTGTTTAGTGTAATACGATGGATTAATGTTTTAACATAACTCATTACATCCTAGATTCAGATGAATTAGGGCTCAGTCCTGGGCCCTAAAAACATAAACACACATAGTAAAATCCTTACATGCTATGACTATCATTTATACATAAGTAGATTTTTCTTGTAATATCCATCTCAAGTCATTTAATTGAATACTAGAGACATCGTTGATAATATATTCTAGTAGATTTACTTTAATACTATACAATGTAATATAGTAGAAAGGTTATAGATTTAGAGTCAGATAAACCTGAGTCTTGAATTCTGGCTTTGTCATTTATCAGTTATATTACCTTGGCTTGAACCACTTAATCTTTTTGAGCCCTCAGTTTCCTCATCTGTAAACTATAGATTATAATACTTTGCCTGTGGGACAGTGAAATTAGATAATGACCGTAAAACATCTAGCATCGCACCTGACACATTGTAGACAATAAATAGGACCTTATTACTATTGTTATATCAGGTTGGATTTCCTGTAAAATAATCCAATCTTACATAGTTTCAGAAATGTCTCAAAATGAAAAAGCTCTAAATGCTAAGGAAAAAAATGATGCTGCTTTCTTTGTGAAAATCAAACAAAATAATTTGTAAATATTCACTGTG